CTCGATCCCAGGACCCTGGGATCATGACCTGAGCCGAAGGCAGACGCCTAACGACTGAGCCACCCAGGCGCCCTGACTGATAGCATTTTTGATAGCCTTTTTCCATATTATGAAGTCAGTACATCTGTATAATATTTAGTCTTGTAAATGTACCTTTGTTTAACCTCATTCTCCAGTTGATGATACCAGATTCTGCACCATTGATAATGTAGCTATTGAACATCCATATCGAATTTTTTATCATTTCCCTGGGATAGATTTCTAGAAGTGGAATTAATGTGTCAAAAATCATAAACCTTTGCAAAATTTTTTATTACATTTGCCAAATTCCTTTCCAGAAAGGACATAGTAGTGTGTTGGCACCAGCAGTGTATGAGAGTGCCTGTTTTACAGCAACTTGTCCAGCATTGGATTTTTAAATTTTGTTAATAATTTAATAGGTTAAAAATGGTGTCCCACTGTTTTAATGTGCATTTTTTTTTATTACAAATGAAGTTGACAGTTTTTCACGTATCTGTTAGTGTTTACTTGTCTTTCCCACAGTATATGTAATATAAGAGGTATCTGTGTGAGATTACCTGGTTTTCTTTGGCAGCCTTCACTTCTGCTCTGTTTAGAGAAAAACATTAGGGAGTAAGGCTTTTTTGGGAAAGGGATTCTAGTAGTTAATCAGGGTTGTAGACATAGGTGAGAAAGTTAATGGGGCAGGGTAAGTATAAGATGAGGTCGATGTAATGATATATTCATACCTCCCTGAATCATCCTGTAAGACATTTTGTGTCTGTTATAAAATACATGGCATGGCTTTAGCACAGAGGTAAATGACCCTTAACTACAAAAAAAAAAAAAAATTCCCCAAAGGTGATAAAGTTATAGTGATGATCCCAATTCATCATGAAGGAGATTTATAAAGGTCAGTCTTTTCTGGCTAAAAAGGTGGAGATACATGCTACAAAAATATTTATCAAAAACATTTCTTCAGGGGTGCCTGACTGGCTCAGTTGGTGGAACATGTGACCCTTCATCTTGGGGTCATGAGTTTGAGCCCCACATTGGGTGTAGATATTATTTAAAAAAATTTTTTTTCTCCATAAACATGTGACCTAAAATAAGAAAACGGTGTTGTTTTTAGAAAATACCCTTCATCAGAATTTTCTGATAAGCTGAGTTATTTTTTTAAACTTGCATGGACTTAAAGCAACATTTCCAATTATTTTTCATGACTAGATAGATTGGCCAAGGTCTTGTTTTCTGATTTCCTCATCTTGAGCATTTATAGGTAAGAACCTTAGGAGCCCTGTCTGTATCACAAAGGAGATGCTCTTCCAGACAGATTCTAGCTTGTGAGAGCTAGCATTTTATTCCACAAATTGGTAGGGATTAGAGGACTATCCATGCATGGAAGAGCAGGAAGGAGCTCCTTAAGTTTTGGTCGTTTTTGCTATTCTTGCTCACTTATTCAGCCTCATTTTTTGAGCTTTTCCCTATTTGCTCGATGCTATGGGGAATACAAAAATGAATAAGATGGAGTATGCATTTGGTGAGCTAGGGAGAGAGTAGACATGTCAAAAAAACAACCATTGCATTTGGCTTACCAGATATGGAGACTTCTTACAGAGTTACAGAAGTTACACAGTGGTAAACCAAGGAAAGCATGATTTATTAAATTAAATCCAGATGTGGGGAGTTCATTCTTCCTGAAAATATTTATTGCATATCTACTATGTTCTAAGCACTGTGCTTGGCAATTAGGGATCCAGTTTTTAAATTCTACAGTTTCGAGTTAATGCTATTCTGTAGTACACTGGTATATTTGCTGATCACTGCCTGCATTGTCCTTTGTGTAGAGCAAAAACTGGTTTGGTGATCCTGGTTTTTAGATCATCCCCTGGTTATAGAAGAGTTTTGTATACCTGCCCATCAGCAATCCCCAGATTTCAGCTGGATTACTGGTTCTTGCCTAGGTAATTTTAAAAACTCCCTAACTGGCTCATTGCCTCTGTAGTCTGTCATACAGGCCACTGCTGGTTACTTTACTAAAACAAATCCTTTTACCTCAGAAACCTTCCATGGCTCCTTGCCTTCCATGGTCAACTCCAGTCTGCCTCCCAGACTTGCCTTGCAGTGCATCTTCACACCACACCTCTGTAACCCCACACGTGCCCTGTACATCCACTTCACATCTCCTGGTTCTTTGCTGATGCTTTCCCCCTGACTCTGGAAAACTTCAAACACCCACCCCTTCTTTTTACTGTGTCTCTTGAAATCCTACTCATCCTTCTATACTCAGCTCAGTTGTGAAATTTTGAAGTGATGTCATTCAGCCTTGTACTGTATGTTTTTACCCTAGTGGATTCCAGACTCTTAGCAGTGTTTTGTGTGTGTATGCTTGGCAAGCATGTGTAAAAGGAGAGATTTTGGTGATTAAATTAGCCATAAAACATTGCTGAACCTAGAGGTTAAAGCTTTTCTTTGAGGTCTCTGCCTTCATGGGTATGAGAGTATAGGATACCAAACACGTAAACACAAAGGTTGTAATTCTTAATTATGATAACTGCTGTGAAAGAAAAAAAACGTAGAGTAGTCAGTATTTAGGTGGAATAGTGAAAGACCTTGAGTCAGAAAAGAGGGTGTGCAGAATGGCAAACCCAGGGTATAGGGAAGGTATAAGGGGAGTGGGGATTGGGCTTGGTCAGGGCCATTTGTGCCGGGAAGCCATCAGAACCCCAGCAGGTGAGGGCTATGGTCCAGTTCACATTTTAAAATAGGTAATTAGCCCCCAAGTTCTCCTAGCCAGTAGGAGAAATTAGATTCAACATACAGTTCTTTAAATACTCGCAACAGATTCAGAAAATGATATTAGCCAGACTTTTAGATTTACTCAGAAATAATCAGATACCAAGTACATCATATATCTCTTACTTTGTATTTTGGTAATTTCTTTGACTGATTCAGCCATCTCCAAACTGAGCTGTTGATCTTGGAAGATCATTCTCATGCCAAGCTATTTCTTATTTTTCTAGCGGTTCATAAAATTGTTTTATCTTTTTTACTTTTTTTAAGGTTGAATGCAACTCTCGCCTGAACCCTGTAAATACAACTTTGCTAAAGGTAAGGTGCTTTCTTTCCTCATTGCCAGTAGATTTATGAGTAAATTATACATGGCTTAAAATATTTCTGGAATAGTTGCCCAAAAAGAAGGAAAGCTGCTCTCTCTCTCTCAGATTATTTTTTTTTAATTTCTTTTTCCTGAATATATTCTCAATGTAGAATATTGGGAAATAGAGAAAAGTAAAGGATAGAAATCAATAGAAATTACCCATAATCCTAACATCCAAAGTTCCCCTCTGGTAAAAATATTGATGTCTTGAGGCGCCTGGGTGGCTCAGTCAGTTAAGCATCCAACTCTTGATTTTGGCTCAGGTCACCATCTCAGGGTCATGAGATCAAGCCCCACCTTGGGGTCTGTGCTGGGTGTGGGGTCTGTGCTGGGTGTGGAGCCTGCTTAAGATTCTCTCTATCCCTCTGCCCCTCTCCCCGCCCAACTCCTGTGCTCATCTCCAAAAGAAAAAAAAAATTAGGGTCTTTTTCCTGTACACTTTTTTTTTTTTTTTTTTAAGATTTTTTTTTTTTAGGGCGCCTGGG